CACCGACTCGGCGAGTTCATTCAGGCCAAATGTTCGTTCAGACGATTTCAATCAGATCTATTACTCCAAACACTAGATCTATCATCCCAAGGCTCAATAATCATGTAAAGCTTCGATCTTTACGTTCATACATGAGATTATTGCTCCAAAATGCTAATACATGCCTTTCATGAGGGATTTAGCTCATCAACCCTCATTTGAACGACTAAAGCTGGGACATCTAGACTCTAAGGACCTTAGGAGGTCCAGATCTGAGGTTTCCAACCACAACCATGTCTCATTCAACTCATAGATTCAAAAGGATGGAAGCAAAGCCCTAAAACTCCCAAAATGAGATCTAGTAGAAGGAATGAACAAGATAAGGACTTTGTACCTTCTCTTAGCAGCTGGAACACTCAATACCACATATCCACTGCCTTCCTTTGTTCCCCATCATGAAGCTCTTCATCCTTCTTCATAGAAATGCACCAAGAACCATAATATGAGCTTCTCTCTCACTCTCTAGCTCCAATAGCAATTAGGGTTTGCTCTCAGGGGAAGGTAGCCGCAAATGAGGCTATAAATGCCTTTAAATAGGCCCCAAACCCGGGAAATTAGGGTTTCTCTGCCCAGCACCTACTCGGCGAGTCCCTCCTCTGACTCGTCGAGTCCATTCATTAAATCCACGCGGCAATCTCGACTCGACTCGGCGAGTTGGTCCCTCAACTCGTCGAGTCCCTCCTAAAATCTCAAGATTAACATATACAATAATGTCCCTCGAAATCCGGTTGTTACAAATAGGTTTTATATCTCCTGGTCTTGGTATCAGTTCACAAGTTTAATTATGCTCTAAGCCTATAATTTCTTCTTCTATTGCCTTCTACCAAACTTTATTTTGTAATGCTTATTTATACGTCTCTGACTCTTTAACATCATTTTCTAAAATTGTCGCGTTTTCATACATAGGATTTGGCTTTTAGATTCCTTCGGTCCTTCGAAGTTGTGGAGGTGGTGTCTCATTTTTACTAGCATTACTTGGTTGAGCTAAGTCTTTCTCAATGACATCAGTTTATCTTCAGGTGCATCAACCCTTGACCAAATATGTGCATTTGTATCTCCTATCTTATGTTGTACAATTTCTTCAATGTTTTTCGACTATGGTAAGACTTTCATATATGAGGACCACCAGGAAGATGCTTCAGTAAACATTATATCTCTTGAGGTGTAACATTTTTCACTTGTTGGATCACAAAACTTCCAATATTTTCTTTGATTTTCGTATCCAACATATATACACTTGGCTGCTTTCGTGTCAAACTTTCTACGTAAATGACTAGGCACAAATACGTAGCAAACACAACCAAATACTCAGAAGTAGCTAACTATAGGTTTCATGTTCCATAGTGTCTTAAATAGTTAGATGAAACCTAACATTGGTTGGGTAAGTTTACTGATCACATGGGTAGCATTTCACATTGCTTCAACTCAAAATCTTCATGGGACATTCTACGTGTGTATCATGCTCAAACATAGTTCATATGCGAAATTTATGAGGAATAAAAATTGGGTTTTTTTTTTCTTCATATTTTCACTTAGTAACATACTTTGGAGTTAAAATTATGACTTTCTAACATCCAAATTTGGAGTGTAATATCTTTACCATATTCAAAATCTGCCTTATCCCTATCAGGGATTAGCGGATTTCGTCCACCTCCTATCTCTGTAAAGTTCTAGAATATTCCAATTAATCCAAAGGATATAATTAAAATTCAGCCCATTTAATTAATTAAAACTATTTAATTAATTACCAAAATAATTTCTAATTAATTTATTAACTCATTTATAAATTACCAACTTATTATTTACTATTTAGAAATATTACCAACTAGTTAATGACTTTGGACACTATTTCCAACACAAAGTTAATCAATGAACATTCTACACTCCCGATTTAGATGTCGAGAAGTCATACTTTTTTTAGCTCCAAAAGTAGTATTAAGTGAAAATTATGAAAAAAAACTTCATAACTTTCATACAAACTTCATAACAATCATCATACCATTTGGGTTCTCCAAATCAAAAAGGTGACTTGCAAAAATCTATAAAGAAAAATATAAAAAATCATTTTCGCAAGCCACCTAGATTTCTGCAGGTGTGACCTCGCCGGTGTTGACATGCAGATTTAAAAAAATATTGCAGGCTACCTAAATTTTCGCAGGTGCGATCTGGGAATATCTTAAAAAAAGTCCACAACCATCATGATTTTCGCAAATGTTACATGCGGAAATTGTGGCTATTTTAGACATTTCCATTTTCTTGGCTATTTAATGGAAAAATCTTAAGATAAGGCTATTATGATCATCTTCTCTAATATATATCTTATATACCCGAACATGAATACCCGAATTTAAATATAGGTCGATAATTACTTATGTTTTTATTTGAGTAGCCGATTAATATGAATAATGTTCGTATGATCCGAAAATCTATATTAGGTGTTTTTTTTAACAATTGAAATTTATTATTTGTTTTTAAAATGATTTTGTGATGTTTAGATCAAAATATGTATTTTTAACATGATAATTGTGATGTTTAAGATATAAAATTATATACATATAAGAGATTTATCATATTTGTGGATAGATAAATAATGTTATATTTGTTCTCAAAATTCTTTAAAATCTTAGCATATATTTATCGATTATTAAAATCAAATTTGTCACAAAACTGGTTGTTAATATGATGGTTAATAAATTATAATGGACACCCTTCAGTATCATCAAAATCGTATTTTTAATATGACGGTTAATAATTTATAACTTAATAGTTGATTCATTAATAATTTATAATTTAAATATTTAATGGTTGATTCGTTAATCGTTTTGAGTTTTAGAAAAGCTATATCCCTTTCATTTAGTGGATATTCATTTTTTGTATAAATGTTCTTTTACTAAGGTATGTTTTGCATACTTTGACTTCTACATCATATAACATGGTAATTGTCACCATTAGATCTCACCATCAACCAGTACATAAACGCAACTGTGGTTGTGGTTCATGAGTAAGACTACAGTTATCTTGTAGTCCATGAATTAAGAATCAAACATATTTACAATTTTTCTGTATGAAATTTAGGATAAAAATACATGTTCAATGGGGTGCATGCACCCACTCAAATCCCATGTATGATGGATCCACCACTGCCTCAATAACAAAGAAGATGATGGACACACTTGAACATTGGACATCATTTATGGATCATCACATCCTTAAGGACCTTAATACTAGAGCCTAGATGTGAACACGAGTCTGTTTGAGCTGGTATGAGCCTGGTCCAAAAAAACATGGTATTGTCTATGTTTTTGGTTGTTGTTTTGTTTCTCAGAAAAGAACATTACATCCCTAATCCCTACACTTCAAATGAAGTTTATTAAATATCAACATGAAGCCCTTTATCTTTTACTTTGTATCATTTACACCACTTTAAAACATAAAACTTTTCAAAAACACCCCAGTATCAAATATATTTACATATTTGATCCATATTAATATGCACTCCATCATCAATTGTTTAAGCTAAATACATAGCTTAGTTAATATTTTGTTTATCAAACATCTACAATATCTTCTAGTATATTTAAATAATAGTTTAATCAAAATCACCAATATTTGTAAGTTTTGTTACTCCAATGTGACATTTAACTATGCTAATATTTTCTAAGAATATACATATTATGATTATATTATGATTAGAATATCATTGGTGTTTCTGAGTTATATGGTAAAATGGACAACTCAGACCGTTGATTTGACCCACAAACATTTTTTGTTTAAGATTTATTAATTTGACAGTTGATGCTCTAAATGTGTTTACAAAAATTATATTATAACAATGGCGATCTAATAATTTGAATAAATTGATTGACTAAGTATGTAAATTAAATTATATTTTTGGCTTAAATTCCTTTTATTCCTTCTATTTCTAACTAATATTGATAAATCACGTTGACTACCAAACTGAATGGTTCATCCTCTAATGGTTAAGAGAATATATGGTTGCTTAACCGTTCGAAGCCAGTTACAAGACTTATGATTCGTTCATAGGTTGTAACAAACACTCTCAATGTAAAATGATTCAGAGGTAACATCGAAATTGAACCCTTAAAGGGGTTAATGCATTCAGTTGCATGATGAAAAGCTCCACAAGTGCACCACGAATGTCCATATGAGCCACACGAAAAAGTCAAGTTACAAAACAATTCCAATGGAATCGGAATCCGAGATAACCATGGAATGAATGGAATTTAATTATGTTCAGATTCCTTCAAATTCCATGCTTGATGGTATTTCACAAGATAGGTGGAGGTGATTGATTTCCTTCTTCTTTTTTATTAAAACACCAAAATACTCTCATTATAATATATAAAAAAAAAAAAAAATTTAGTTATAGGTGAAAATTAATAATTATTCAAATTTATATTTCTTTACTCTTTCATAAGGCCATCTTATTAAACTTAGTTTATAACACATTCCATCCAGAACAACTCATGTTTGCTTCTGTGTTACTATTTCCAGACGCATATTCGAATTACATCTCAAGTTTGAATCCTATACACACACAATGAAATGAAAACTGGGTTAACATGCAAAAAATAAAGTAAAGAGAGAAAATGATCAGATCAGAAGCAAGCACTTGAAGTTAAATGAACAATGTTGTCACTGTTGTTGGGAAATTGCGTTTTTGGCACAATTTCAATATAAGTATCATGTATTAGGATTGCTATACTTTTCCCACTCCTATAAATATAGCATTTCGTTCCGTATGTACTTTATGCATTAAAATATGTACTTTGGTGCATGTCCCAAAAACACACACCCCTTTGCATCAGAGAAATACTAGGGTTCATGTCAAAAATCAAGCGCAGATCCTTTTCTTGCAGAACCAATGCAAAAATTGGGGATTCAAAGAAGAAACCAATTGACTCGAACTACCAAAAATTATCAAGTAATTACGAAATATAGTTCAAGTAATTACAAAATATAGTTATAGAAACACGCATTGAAATTGAAATTGAAGATCTAGATTTGAAGGGAAGCGGAGAGATCAAACTTCAAACCTAGATAAGATTGATTACAATATGAAGAGATGTGTATTTCTTCCCAGAACACTCTTTGAACATGGATGCCAATGCTCAAGTAACAAAACCTCCTGTAGCACCTCCAAACATCTTCGATTTAAATTAGGGTTATTGTCATGATAACCAAAGGAAGAGATTGACACTTGGGATCGTAATCCTAGCAATTGTGATTGGATTCTTTCATCTGGTTTCAAGATCAATACATACCCTGAACACTTAATGAACAATACATAGACATTAAAATAACATACCTCTAAAACTTACTCACCACTTTCATCTGGTTCTTGGTTTGATGTCATCTTCAATTTGGTGCTGCTCTTTGGGTTTGACTTAATCTTCAATGTGGTTCTAGGTTTGATTTCATCTTTAGACAATCACATTACTAGTAGATCTTCAACATGACAGTAACTTTAGCTATACTATAGGTATTGGATCTCATCAACTCATGTACATAATCCCAGACTCTAGCATATTGATCACTCTGTTTTCATTCTATGAGAGACATTACCATGCACCTAACATTATAACACTTTGAACATGATACTTGACAATGAAATTTACTTTGTATCATAGCTTGCGTCTCCGAGAAAAGACATGGCTAATAGCAAGGGTATCAGTACTACCCCTCAATTTCATCCGAGAAGTGTAAAAAAGTTTGGGATTCTTTTATTACATGGAAAGTGAGTAAACTAACCACTTTGTAGTGTTTTTTTAATAGCCCATTTAAATTAATTTTTGCAAAATAACCTTTTTCTTCGGAATGGGCCATTCTGGACACAAATTTGAACTCATTTTCGGGCGGGTCGGCCCATCAGCTATCCTCCGGAATGGTCACTCCGGACTATCCATACGTATTCCATACCTCACTTTTAAATTTCAATTTCTGGAATATATTCCAAAAAAAATGGATCTCGATTTCATTCGGATCTTGGCTTTCTGATCTCCGACACTCCACTCCGACTTTCTGATTCTGATCTTCGTCACACCACTCCGACTTTCCGATTCTAATCTCCGACACGACACTCCGACTTTCCGATTCCGATCTCCGACACACTCCATTGTTACGCATTCTGAACTCCACTAAAGATATGGAAGATGATAACTATGACCCGGTTGTTTTACGGGTAAGTCCTTTACTTCGACTTAAGATTTTTGTTTATATTTATATCCATCAGAATGAACTGACCACGTTCCGGAGCAAAAAACTGCATTCCGGAATGTTAAGATTACCTACGAAATAAACAGACCACGTTTTGTAGTACCAATATATGATGACAATGCATTAGGACCAACCCGAAAGTGGTTTAGTTATTTATAGAATGTTATTGTACATTGAAAACTATTGTTCCGGAACAAAAAATTGCATTCCGGAATGGTCTGAAACACAGAATGGTCTGAAACACAGAATGGTCCGAAACACAAAACTGGTCAGGAATGGGTCACTGTTCCGGAATGGTGTCACTGTTCGTTCTGGAGCGGTTTATAACCAGTTTTCTATTTGCAGCACGACAGGGTTTTTGATGCATCCATTACACTGTCTTGTAAACCCACAATCGGTGTGAATATTCTTGCAGCAATCAAAGACAAATCGATATGCGAGACTATGTTCCGGAATTCATGTTTTGGGAGGTGGTTAGATATTCCTAATGTAGATGTGAATCCTTTACGTCTACATTACATGTTTTTCCACGAATTATCACGGACCCCCAAAGCGAAGTAAAGGAAATGGTTTTTGAGATTGAGGGTTACGAGCTGTCTTTCGGGAAGAAAAAAATTTGTCTTGTTACCGGCTTCCGCTTTGGTGACTATTTTCCTGCTTCCAGTTCTGACGTCGTCTTCCGTTTTCGTGTGTTTTCCTACAGTCATGAGGAACGTGTCTGTGAAATTAGACGATGTGATAAATTTGTTTAAACATTCGCTTAATGACTTATCGGACGAGGATGCGGTCCGTGTATGTCTCCTCTATCTGTTAGACAAGGGTTTCAAAGGTTGGTTAAAAAAACAATCTGTGACAGAGGAGTATTTTTCTTTGGTATCCAACCTTGATGTATTCAACATGCAACATGTTGTTAATTTATAATTACAGATTACAATTAACATTACTAATATTTTATAGAAATTTAATTGGGAATTTTTTATGTCTCAGATATCCATGGGGATAATTTGGGATCAATTGTACTCACAACTATATACTATATTTAATAAGGTTGAGAAGCATATACATCCGGTTGAACCAAAAGCTAAACAACCTAAAAAATGACCTACACCCTAAACGGTTTTTTATACACTTTTAAGGTAAGGTACATGATTAACAATTTATTATTTTTTTGTTTGATAATATTCTAATACATGATTCTTTAAGATATGGATTCTTGAGAGTTTTCTAGTAGGTAGTTTGTTTGGTACCCGCCAATCGAATGTGATCCCTCGAGTTGTTGCATGGTCGACACTGAAGCCTTTACATGTAGTTGAGTGCAACCATTTTATAAACATCAACGGCGTATGATTACTTATACATTTTAAAATTTTCTTATTCTATATGTTTAATTTATGTTTATTTATAATTTTATATTTTTCTTAAGAAGATAATAGACTTGTATAGAACTTGGAGCCGACAAAAGCTGAGAGCCATGCAAAATAGTAGATAATTAGCTCGACGTGGATTGATCGCCCTGATTTACCTAACACCATCGCCCAAACACTCCCCCGCCCACGAGCCTCGACAAAAAGGCATAAATAGATATGCAATCTCACTCGCTACACCCACCACTGTCGGCCGCTGAACCATCAACTGATAAAGACCAAATTTTTACTGACTTACAAAACGAGGTCCGTGAATTAAAAAATGAGGTCAGTGAATGTCGCAAGCAGTTGAGGTCATAGGATAAACGTTTAGCAGAGCATGACACTACTTTAGCCATGCTTCTAAAACTTATTAATAAAACTCCCGAAGATGATGTTGGTACCTCAAAGGGGGTGGAGGTATATTGTTAATTATTTCACTCCTATATTGTTTTTATTTAACTTTATGATATACCCATTATTGCAACGTTTATAATTAAATACTATTGAATTGTACAGACACTTATTGCGAAAGAACTTGGTATCACATACAACAATGAGTTCTAGGAGCATGGTTATGAGTTTGGTACACCTGAACAGTCGTTGTATGACGACCTTGAGCAGCCGTCTACATATATTCAATCGTCATATGTGAAAGAGATTCCATGGGAAGAATACAAAACGCCTCCAACACCTCTTAGGCGATCTCTATGCCAAAAAGTTATGTTTATATGGTATAAGTCCCCATGGATACAAATGAAGAGGAAAGATGTTGCATCACTTGCATAACAACAACCAGCACCGTTGAATAATCTTTTAGAACCTACCGTAAACGGTCTATATAAAGAACGAGATGGTTTGCTTTTGTTTGCTCATTGTTTTTTATTGGTATTGCGATGATTGAGTTTTGGGCGCGCTTATATACGGATAGTCACACATGTTGGTTGAAATGTGATGTAAGTTATATAATTATGTGTTCATTACTTACTACGATTCAAATAACAATACTTATTTTACTACAAAATTTTTGATTGGCAGCACATCATGATGTGGATATCATTGTTGATAGAGCGTAGACGAGATGATGCTTAGTGGACGGTTGTGCTATCAACCTTCAACACTGATGCATTTGACTGGAGTGACATTGTCGGCGTATTCGTTTACCTAGCTTGGGCAGACTATAATACGATATAATTGTGTTTGGATTACATTACCTAAGTAATAGTAATTTACAATATAATGTTATTTGATGATTAATTCATTCTAACCTTTTGTGTAACTTTACATCCCAGTCAATATACCAAGTGCTTTTTTGGGTGCTTTGGATTTGAAGACATTCAAAATGACTATATACGATAGTCACTAGAAGAGCGACTACTATTCACAATATGAGGATTGGTTTATAGGTATGTGAACCCGCATCCACAAACTGCTAGTGGGTATCAACTAGTGGGGTACCTAACAAACTAATGCAATCACAGTTGAGAGTTTCAACGTGATCCTCGAAAAGGCCCTAGACGTACTACAGCAAATTGATGGTACATGAGATTGTGGGGACTATTTGTGTTGGTTCTTGGAGATGTTGATCGTCGTAAATCGTATTCTATAGAGGGGAAAAGCGGTTCATGGGCTATGTCATATCGTAAACGATTGACATAATTGTTTTTAGGGTACAAGGACACAAAGTCGATTTGAACATTGTAATATTACTTAAAACAAATCCCTTAAGTTTATGTATTTTTTTTTGTAGATTTTAAGATTATATTTGCATTTTAGATTTTATAAAAACAAAAATTATAGAAAAAGAAAAAGAAACAAAATAACACAAAACACATTTTACACATAAAAAAAATACTATTCTAGAACGAGTATCCGAAATCATACTCGTTCTGGAGAACTCTCCGGAATAATACATTCCGGACCAAATGGTTATTTTACAATATATATATATATATATATATATATATATATATATATATATATATATATATATATATATATATATATATAAGGGTTATATCGAAGACAAAAAAACCCTAGAAATCATAAAAAAAATACTTAGAGATTACAAATCTTTATTTTGACTTTATATTCCAAAAATTCGCAGCTTTTTTTTATAAATTCGCTGAAAAAAAAAATCAATTTTCTTTTTTGGTTTTTTTTTTTTCAAAAAAAATTTCAGCAAAATTATATAAAAAGTTGTGATTTTTAAGAATATAAAGTCAAAAAAAAAGATTTGTGATCTCTAAGTATTTTTTTTTTTTTGATGCATTTTTATGATTTTTTGGGTTTTTGCTTTCCATAGAACACAAACATATATATATATATATATATATATATATAATGGACTTAGGGAATATGTGACTGTTATGTACCTAAACTTATATATAGAACCCTCCAAACTATTTAGTTTTGATCAATATATATCAAAACCAATCATGATATCTTGTTTACTATTCTTCCTTAATCATGTGATTTACTAAATCGATTGAAATTATATTCTTTTTCTTCATTGTGTCTAAGAACTTAAAACATTAAAAGTCATTACCATTTAATCAACCCTACTAAATATTAAATGAAAACTAATAGAATAAAAGATAAAAGAAGAACATGCAATATCTCAATCAAAGTTTCCACAAATCATTGGAAATAGTTTTTCAATTGAAGGACAAAACATTTGAGTTATATTCGATAAAAAAATATTGGTTTTTACTTTTCCTATAAACTTCAATGATTTTTTTGCAATAATAAGATATACAACTGATACTTATTATTCAATAATTTAACTCAATTTAATGGTATTCTATTAAAACAAAATTAAAAGAAAAATAAAATTGGATTTGTTTTGTTTAAAACTACGTCATTTAAAATGTTTTATACCTAATCTTAAGTACATAACAACCACATATTCACTATATATATATATATATATATATATATATATATATATATATATATAGGGCTGGGTTATAATGTGGATGGACAACTATTGTGCGGACGTGTGGACAATGTTATTCTATGAGAATTACAAAGACAATAAGTTGTTTAGTAGTGCGAATACGTTCAACCTCACACAACTATCATCATTTTCATACATTCTCACTA